AAACAAAATTTTTAAATAGAAATGTTGAGTTTGTTGCCCAGCCATTAACGAAAGTCAGTGATTATAGTATATAAAGTTAACTATATTGATACTTTTCTTCTTGTTGGGCTTCTAGGATACCATTCACTCCCATTATAAAGCTTGGAAGAGCCAGGATATTTTGAATATAACTCCGATTGTTTTTGTCTGAAAGAAGAAAGTCATATACAACTTGGATTGCTTGAGGGTGAATAAATCAAGGGGATCATTTCTTTTTTAGGTGAACAAACTCTTTTAGGGGTTCCCATTATTTTATGGATTTAGTTGGCAAACATGTTTAACAACGTTAAACATCATAGTATTGTGCAATCATTTAAGACGCCTTATATAACGTTTTTGGCATAAAGGTTCTTTAAAACTGAGTCAAGAGGTTTAGGGTTCTATATTGAACTCCACTGAACCTTTTTTTTTTTTCATTTGCTTGTTTGTCTGTTTCTCTTAATTTACAAATGCTGCATCAGGAATGAAAACATTTTTAGAGCAGCGAGACCTTGATATCTCTGAGTTGTCCAAATGTGAAAGTCAAATCTCTATTACTGTATTTCTGTTGTCTGCTCCACCAGCGCAGAGTCAGAGACCAGCAAGTCCGTGTCAGCACAATGTTAAATTTATTACAGCTCCGCAAGCAATGCTGCTGCCAGGTCTGCTGAGTGTGAAGAGGTCAGATAGATTAAATGAAATGGGCAGATTGTTATGTTTCCTTTTGACTTTGATGGCATGATCTGCCTCACTTGATCAGAAATAAAAAAAAATGAGAAAATGCGCAAACATTTAGTGGCTGTCTCAGAGGGACAGTTCACTTAAAACCTATTTTTGGGTGAACTGTTTCTTTAATAGTATTATAAACTTTTTTTTCCTTTTTGACTGTACCTTCTTGTGACACTGCTGTTTAATGAGATTAGGGTTATTTTATGGTTTGCTTTTCCTCGAGTCAAAATGACTTAAATGTCTGTGTTCTTGTGTTTCATTCAGGCTGGCTGCAGCTGAGCGTTTCATCCTGTGTTGACAGGGAGGAGGACAGATCCAGCTGAAGAAGGAGAAAGAAGTGGAGAGGACTGCTGACTCCATGTCTTCGCCTTCAAATAAAAGATCTGGTTCTGGATCACGCAAGTAAGGCATATCTTTTGTCTGTCGTTTATCTTCTTTCAACCCAACATTCTTTCAAACTCGCAGCTGTGTTGGTGCTTTGCTGTAATATCTAACCCATGTACCCGCTCTTAATCACACTAATGTCTGTGCTGCGGTTTAATGACCTTTTGAGCTTCAAGTGCTTCAATAATCCTCTCTCTCTCTTCTGCTGCTGTCATTAATACATCAGATGTTTAGCTCTTTCAATTTATCTCCCTGCTGTCAAGATTTTTTAACTGTAGCACCACAGACATACGACCTTTCATTCATTTGCACAGAGTAAAAAGTCAGAGTAAAAATTACAAATTCCACCAAATTATAAAAGAAATATGTATCTGATTTTTTTTTATGAAGCACAATGATAAAGCAATATTTTAAATAAACTTACATCAGGTTGCTTTTTAAAATAGTGTGCGTCTCGGAAATGTTGTCATACAGTAAGTAACTTTAAACTACAATACTACATACCGCTGTGTCTCACTTGCTCTTTTTAAAAAAAAAAAAAAAAACTTTTTAGCATTATTTTACATAACGGTTGTAATAAAAAACTATAAATGACAATTGTATGAAATGAATTATACAACAATGGATAAATGGAAAAGTTGTAGTTTCCACACACTTTCGGTTAAAGCCAAGCCAACATCAGTTCTGTCTGAATACAGATCATTTTGTCACTGCATATCTGCTTTTCAGTTTCCCTTTCTTTCCTTGCTATCATTATTGATAGCAGAGTCCTCTTTTTTTCTCTCTCTCTCACTCTCTTGTTTCCTCAAGCACGCTTTGTTTGTGTCAGCTGTTTCACTTTACTTGTATTTTCTCTGCTTTGCTCTCACCTTAACCATGACCGTGGCTTGCTTTCATGGTTAGGTAGTTCAGCTAACCTCTTACAGCCCACCAGTGGTGGTCCTGGTGGACAGTATAAAGTGACTTGTCACCGTAAATGTGCTTTTATGATTGGTCTGTTTTTACATTTTAAATCTATTTTGAATTTATATTTGGACCAGTGTTTGAGCATTATTAAAATCTTAATGTATTTACTTATATTTAAATATGTAAATTTATTTTTAGGTTTTAAGTTTTTCATCGAATATTTATATTTTAGTTATTTCAATTAATGAAAATGAAAATGACCATTTGATATACTTTTGCCAACTTAAAGGAGAACTCCGGCACAAAATGAACCTTTGGTCTAATTACCTAGTCGACCGTTCTCTGAGATTTGTTTTCATGATAATCGAATGTAAAGAGTTTTAGTCAGGGTAAATGGAGTAAAAAAAAATAGGCAGAGTAAAACTATTTTTTTTTATATAATTTTAGTATATTATTATTGCATACTTTTTATTATTTTATTATTTATTTACATTTTATTTATTTACTATACAATTAATACATTTAATTTGTACAGAACTATTTTCATAGGCGCCACAAAAAATATTATTTTAATGTGTATAAATTGTGTAATATGTGTGTATGTAAAAGTAAGAATGGAAAATAATACACCAGAAATATGAATGACAAAAATGTATATGTGACACAAAAAGGCTGTTTATTATTTTGGCCTGTAAAAAAATATATATATGGCTGGTGGATTTTTTCATCTACCAGTACCCGTGGCAAGTCGTGAGCCAAAAAGTTTATTTTGGACCCTCACAGCACACACGAGCATGGCACAGCGGCCAAAAACACATGCACACGAGCATGGCACAGCGGCCAAAAACACGCACAGGAGCATGGCACAGCAGTCAAAAACAGTACACAAGCATGGCACAGCGGCCAAAAACACGCACACGAGCATGGCACAGCGGCCAAAAACACGCACACACCAGCATGGCACAGCAGCCAAAAACAGCACGCACACGACCATGGCACAGCGGCCAAAAACACATGGACACGAGCATGGCACAGCGGCCAAAAACATGCACACGAGCATGGCACGGCCAAAAACACGCACACACGAGCATGGCACAGCGGCCAAAAACACACGCGAGCATGGCACAGCGGCCCGACGCACACAACACTAAAGAAAAAGGACCATGACCAAACCACATTAGAATATATACCGTATTAGAATATATACTACCGGATTATAAAGCGCACCTTCAACGAATGACCTATTTTAGAACATTTTTTTCGCCTTATAGTGTGGAAAATACGGGTATGATAAAAAGAAGCGTGACCTACCTTATTGAATCAGCAGCCGTTGCATCAGCGCGCTCTTCTCCGCTACCCTTTCAATGATGCAATCCGTGTCCAAAGAAACCAGAGTCTCTTTTTCGATTGCCATCAACATAAAGGTTTAAGATGCTCCTCCGCTGTGCTCCTTAATCGATTCTTGATGAATTTTAGCGTGGAAAAGCTTCGCTCACATGCAACTTGTGTCACAG